CCCTTACTCTTCCTATACATTCCAATCATTTCTATATACTCTAATTCCTTATCTTATTCTATCCACCAACCCTTACTCTCCTTCTTTATTCTAACCTCATATCTCACCATAACAACATTTTCATTTAACTTCATCAAAATTTATTCGACTGTAGCCATTGTCGCCCAACTTGTCGCTCTCAATTTTTGTTTTTATAATAATATATGTAATGAAGGTTTAAATTTATAAACCTCTGCTCACTCGGTCATTTTTTATGTTCAATAATTGATCACAAAATTCCATAGTTGTTTGATCTTTTTCTAAGTCTCTCGTACATCCCTTTGCTTCTCTCTCTCTCTCTCTCTATTTTTTTTGTCATATCACTTTTCTCTCGCTTCTTACATCTACATTCAACTTTCTTTCTCTCATTGTTTATCTAAATTCTCTATATTCACCTCTTTCTGTTTTGCCATATTTTTTTTTTAACGTTTCATCTATCTTTCTATATATATTTTCATGATTTCCTTCTCTTTCTTTTTTTTTCTCAAAACCCACTTTATTTTTTTTTTTTGGACGTTTTTTTCTTTATTTTTCTTTTCTCTTTCTTCCATATTACTTCTCTCTTTCGTTCAAACTCCCTCTTTAACTTCGCTTTCTGTTTTACCCCTCGTTTTACCAAACATTCTCTCTTTTTACTTTTTTTTTAAATTCACTCGCTTTAATATCTCTCTCTCTTTTTTTAATTTCTCTTAAATATCCTCCATTTAATTGCATCTCTCTCTCTAACTTTAATTCTCTTTTCGTTCAAATTTTCCATACTCTTTAATTCGCTCTTTCATTCATTAATCAAAAGTTTAAAATCTCTCGCTTTTACATCAATTAAATTATCTTTTCTTTTTCTTTTTCAAAAATCACGATTTTGAAACATTGTTTTCGCCCAGTCTCTCTATTATTCTAAAAATAAAATTGATTCCTTTCGGATAATCTCTCTCTTGATAACTTTGTCTTTTATCTCTTAATTTATTATATTATCTATAATTTTTTTCTCTCGATATATACCAATCTCTTTCAGTTTTATGTCTTTTACCCACTCTTCCTTTCCAAAATCTTTTTTTCTTCCTTTCCCCTTTAATAAAAAGCATTCACCGGAAACAACAGTTCTATCTTTCAAAATAAAATTTACCCCCTCTCTTAAAATAAATTATTTTTTCTCTGTTCAAACTTTTATTTTTTTTAAAAATTTTTCTTTTCCTTCTTTTTGAAAATTCTTGCAGTAATTAATTTTTTTAAAATGATTTTTTTTATTTATTCTGAAAATTTCATGAAAAACACACACACACACACACACACACACACATTCACTATCAATCATATTTATGTATGTTGGAAAAAACTCGGAAAAAAGCATTTGAATAAATCATCGATGTGATGTTATCATTAACATGGGCAACAATTAACTATTTGATTTATTCAAAAAATAACTAATTTGGATAAATTATATGTAACCTTCTTCGGCAACACATGGTGAAATTTCTAATCAAAGATCATTTAACTTTTGACGTGGCCAACTTGATTCTTCTGTTACTTATCTTCACGCATTTAGTATATGTTTTTCTTCAGCAGATTTCTTTCTTTTTTTCTTCTTCTTTAATTTTTCCTGTATGCATTTACGGCAATTAATGTGCGGTTTAATTGTTATGGATATGGCTCTGGATTTTTCAGTGATAAAAGTTCAAATTCCAGTCAATGTTTTTTTGTTACATTTTCTTTTTCGCAAATACCTTTGGCAAAGATTGACTTATTGATTTGATTTGTTTGTTTAACGGCTCATCAACACCGCATGGATCATTTAAGTCCGAAATTTAATTTTCAGGGGAGATTTGAATAAAAATATGACATTTTCTAACATATCTCAGTCTGTTTATATCAGTCTGTCTGTCTGTCTGTCTGTCTATCTATCTATCTATCTATCTATCTCTCTCTCTCTCTCTATATATATATATATAGATATATATGTTCATATCTATCTCAACCTGTTCATATCCACCTTAACCTGCTCATATCTATATGTTGCAGTTCTGTTAAATTTACATTTTGGAATATTTTGATTTAAGAAATTGTAGGATAATTAGGTTATATCATGAAAGAGTTCCTTCATGTTGGTTGGTTGATATTGTTTAGCGGCATATCAACATCTCTATGGGTTATTTAATACTGAAATCTAAATATTTTGAACTGAATTGTATGCCTTCAACTACAGATAAAATAACCATTTTACTATAAATATGTATTGTTGGTAATTTTTATTTAAAACAAAAATGTATGGCTGGTATCTTTACTTTAAAAATGTATTTTTAAACCGTCATAGTGCTTTGTTTTTTGTTTCCAAGAATTTTGTTAATATTTTATGGACCCTAACTTGAAGTAATAATAAAATATATTTATTCTGCTTTTAATCAAATTGAATACATGGTAGATGATAAATTGCTTTTGTTTTCCATATACATCATGTTTGTATAATATAAATAAATTACTAGAGGTGGTGATATGTAGTTTTGTTTTACTATATTTTGGAATACAGTCGGATTTGATATTGAAGAAATTATAGGATCTTCACATCAATCATAACTATATATATATATATATATATATATATATATATATATATATATATATATATATATAAATATATACAAAATCCGATTTATTTATTAAAGAATTTTTTATGTTTAACGTTGTTATTTTATAGATACAAGTATTTAAGCAAATGCTCTGTTTATGATAAACAGTATTAAATAACATTTACCGGCCTGAATGTCCGAAAATTTTCATAGAAAATATTCGTTCTTTTGACAGGATTCGAACCTGCATCCTATATGGAAAATTGGAGTTTATAAGCAGTAAATTCGACCTTGTCTACCGAACGCTTTTTTGACGGCCTAAGCGGTAAGGCACGTCAGCGTATATGACGGTTCCGTATAGGATGCAGGTTCGAATCCTGTCAAAGAACGAATATTTTCTATGAAAATTTCTCAGACATTCAGGCCGGTAAATGTTATTTAATACTGTTTATCATAAACAGAGCATTTGCTTAAATACTTGTATCTATAAAAATAACAACGTTAAACATAATAAATGTCTTTAATAAATATATATATATATATATATATATATATATATATATATATATATTTAGGCATATATATTTTCATTTATACACGTTTCATTAAATAATATAGACAAGTGTTGTCTATTTATTTTATGTAAATTTTTTCATAACATCTGATAAGTTTAATAACATTATCATTAAACGAAGAAAAAGAAATTCACAATATTGATCCATATTTTTTTAATATAATCTAAGCTTTCGGCTTACATAAGCCATTATCAAAGATGTAAATTTAAACATATTAAACAATATACGGACAAGACAGTGATGATAGTCTGTCATTGTTTACATAGATGATCACTAAGCAACGATAAACACGCGCATATATAAGACGCTAGAAGGGAAAATCGCACCGCATCTCATGACGTCACACATGACTACACGAGAGTGAATTGGAGAATGAAATAAATGAAAGCCGTTGGTATAAACCAATGGCTTCTGTTACCAATTATAGACATTTAAGAATATTTGTAGAGATTCCATAATTGATTTTGTTTAAAGGTTGGGTTTTAACTGTTTGATGTATAATGCTTCAAGTATTTTTAGTTTTTGTCTATTGTTTTCATGTCGAAGTATAGTTGTGTTTTTTGACAAGTATTTTTACGGAATTGTGTGTGCTTTTTATCATGTTGTTTTAAATGCCTAAAAATTTAGAGTTTTCATTAAAATGTAGTGTCAAGCGTCGTAAATATATATATATATATATATATCCTACGGTTGTATCTTTAAATTCACACGGCCCCACACAAATGTGTCAAATTGAAAAAACCTGACATTGGAGAAAAGAAAATTTCTTTGATTGATCATCTAAAAAATAAATTATTTAATACTGCGTTTTTAAGACCCAAAAGGATCGTAGATGATCATTTTTAAAAATTAATAATTTTTCAAGACTTTTTGCATTGATAATCATTTAATAAGACACCAGAAACGTTATAAAACAAATGTTTATTTTAGTAGTGATTTTATAACATATTTATGTTATAATTTTCGAATAAATAATTATATTTTTCTATTCTGTATTGATGAATTCTTTTTATTGTATTTTTTTTTATTTTGTTCAATTTTATTTCGTATACATAATCCTTTATTGGAAAAAATCACATATATATATATATATATATATATATATATATATATATATATATATATATATATATAAAAACATGTGACGTCATTTGTTTACATTTTGGATACGCTTTGAGCAGATATGAATGTAAATGAGAGATTTTATGGAAGATTGAAGTTTAAAAACAGTAAATCGACCTTTAATCGAACGAATCATGGCTCGATCGGTTAAAGCACGTCAGACTATATGATTTTTTTTGATTGATAGGATACATATTTTTTTTCCTGTCGGAGAAAAAATTTTATAATATTTTTCTCGGTAACATGTTATTAATACTGTTTATTATAAAATAGATAACATTTACTTAAATGTTTGTATCTATTCTTTGCATAAACATAAAAAATGTCTTAAAATAATCGTCGAACTTTTTGATTTCATATATATATATATATATATATATATATATTTTTTTCATGTTTATGTTCTTTTTTAAATATTATTAAATAATTGTTGGTCTTTGTCCATATTTTTGTTATATATATATATTTTATATATATTTCCAATAGCGTAGTTTTTGTAAATTTGGCCGAAAAAAAAAAAAAACATTTGTTTGAGGATCCAACTCACTACTCAGTCGTAATTGATCTAAATGACAAAATTTCAAACATTAAAACCACGTCGAGGTTTTATTTGATTTTCCAAGCGTAGTTTAAATGTGGCACAAGGCCAAAAAGTATGGAATCCATCATTATCAACTCAATATCGTTATATATATATATATATATATATATATATATATATATATATATATATATATCCTGAAAATATCCTAGACGTGTTCATACGGCCTCAAAAAAGGGTGAAATCCTCCCCCTCCCAGATTGGAGCAAAGAAAATTTCTTTGATTGATCGTCGCCAAGCGGGCCACGGTTCTGCGTCTTTAAGACCCAAGTGCATCGTAGATGAGAATTCCAAAAAGTTTTATAATTTACTCAATCATTATAAATTTTCAACAAACTCACAACTCGTTGCTGTTTATGAGACAAACGTCAATTCATTTTGCGCCTTTTATATTCCGTCAGGAGCACCGCTCGACGGTAAACGCAGCCTGGCATTATTAGGTCGTGATCACTTTAAAGACAAACGCGAGCCAACGGCAGCCATTTTGCCGTCCTTTTCTGGTCTGCCTGCATTTGTTCTGTCGGTGAAGGGAATCATGGGAGATATTTTTATAGGTCGTAAAATGCATGCCAAAAGATCGCTTAGAATCGCATCGCACATAGCCGGGGTAATTTATCTACGACACCGAAATCCGAAGGCGCAATGGGACAGCGAAAGATGCTTTCCAGATGCTAAACAAAGTATGAAGAAACAGGAAAATTTCATTGGAAACAAAGAAAAGAGTAGTGAAGTGTTATGCAATATCGTTACTCATACTGGACTATATAATCATATTTGTAGAAGAGACTTCAGGAAACAGAAATGTGATTCTACAGAAGGATGCTGAGGATACCATGAACTTGTGAGCAACGACGAAGTTTTAGAGAAAATGGAAATATAATAATTCGTAATAAAAATTAATATAAAATTACAAATATTCGTAATAATTTGTAATATAAAGATACAATAATTCGTAATATAAGTTAATATAAAAAATATTCGCAATAAAGTTGCATAATCATGATAATTCGTAATATTACGTCATATAAAAATATGATAATTCGTAATATTGAGGCCTAAAAATATGATAATTCGTAATATTAAGACAAAAAATTTAATAATTTATAATATTAAGTCATATAAAAATATAATTCGTAATATAAACTCATATAAAATATGATAATTCGTAATATTAAGTCATATAAAATATATGATAATTCATAATATTAAGTCATATAAATTATGATAATTCGTATATAAGAGATAAAAATATGATAATTTATATTAAGTCATATAATTCAAATATAAACTCATATAAAATATGTTATTCGTAATATTAAGTCAAATAAAAATAATTTTATTTGATAATTCATAATAAAATATAATTCTATATTAAAATATGATATGATTTTATAATATTAAGATATTAATATTTATATAAAAATATGATATTCGATATTGATATTAAAAAATGTAATTGATAATTCATGAAATATAATTGAATTCATATAAAATATGATAATTCGTAATATTAATCATATAAAATATGATAATTCATAATATTAAGTCATATAAAATATGATAATTTATAATATTATCATATAAAAATATAATTCGTAATATAAACTCATATAAAATATGATAATTCGTATATATTTTTAATCCAGTCATATACAAATATGAATATGTTAATTCATAATATTAAGTCATATAAAATATGATAATTTATAATAATAATTCATATAAAAATATAATTCGTAATATAAACTCATATAAAATATAATTCGTAATAATAAGTCATAACAGTCAGTTATGTGCCATGCGTGATATGCGCTTAGGCGATCATGGATCTTTCGATATATAACTGACGATTTTTTCCCGCAGTAGATTGCCATTTTTTTCTGCGGTAGACCAGTTGCTATCCAAGACTATAGAAGCCTATTTACCCATAACTGTTGGGAGAAGAACAGGATTTATACGTATTAGCACGTAAGTGAATGCAATGGATTTCGAACTCAGCTCTCCGATTCCTCAATCAGAGCTGCTATCCAGTAATCCACCATGGCCCATAATTGCCATATTTATTGGAATTTTTTTATAAATCATATAAAAATAAGGTAATTCATAATATTAAGTCAGATAAAAATAAGGTAATTCATAATATTAAGTTATATAAAAAATGTGGTAAGTCGTAATAATATAAAAGATATTTGTAACCAGAAAAGCTCAGTAGAGGATAATTTTAATCGACAATCGATGTATAAATAGCGACTATAAAAATAAAGTGTATTTTAATAAATAGAAAAAAAAGATATTTTAAAAAGAATTAAAGATGCAAAGATTAATAAATAAAATTCTCTTATTTTTTTTCTTTAAAAAAACATTGCTTTCTTGAGGAAGAGTAAGAGACTTATTTTGAAAGAAATATATGTTAATAAATTCAGTTGCTTTAACTTGGCGCAGGTGAACGGAGTAATTTCTGGAAAAATGAAATAGGGAGATAAGTCATTGAATTTTTTTATTTAAATTCGTTTACTAATATCATAAACTGATTACATCATCAAACTTAGTATAAAGAAAACGCAAAGTGAGAAAAATAGCAATTAATTGCTGAAACCTCCTGCTGAAGAGAGGACTGAACAATTATAAAAAAACTTCATCTACGAAAATTTAGATTCGAGGTGCGGACGAAGCTGAATATAATATCAATTAGCGAAGTCATAAATTACAGTTATATGCATTAATCATATATATATATATATATATATATATATATTAAAAAGAAGACAGAAGCCGCAAACGTTTTTGGTTGTTATGTGGATATTTTTAAAAACAATATTATGATTTATAATCCATAATTTTGCTACACACGTTTCTGGTCTTGTGACCTTCATCAGGCAAAATTTTTAAAAATCCACGTTACAACCAAAAACGTTTGTGGTTTCTCTCTTCTTTTTAATATACACACTTTTCTCTCTTTGGAACGATTATATAATTTCCTTTCCTTTATATATATATATATATATATATATATATATATATATATATATATATATATATATGTGTTTGTGTGTTTCATTAAAGACTGCAGACAAGATAATGTGATTAAGCCTTTTATTTTATTATTCTTGTGTTCAAACAAGTGTTTTCTTTTCTGGGCACAAAGTGTGTAGAAACTGTCTAAAGTTTTTAACTGGTATGGTTTGTGTGTATCTTTCTAGGGTTGGAGGCATCTTTTATTTTCCGAACACAGCACATTATGGCCGTGTTCGTAGTTAATATTATTAAGTGTTGCCTTTTTCTTTTTTATTATTAAGGCTTCCATTATTTTTCATCTCTTTTTACATGTGGATGAGGTTATTATGTTTGTGTTTTCTACTTGAATGTTTTGGATGGGGTTTGCTATGTTTCTGTGTGTGTTTAAATGTTTATTTGTACACATACGTTATATATAATCATATATACATATATATATATATATATATATATATATATATAGACAGAGTATACACATATACAAACACAAATACACACATACACATATATACTGTATATATTTATATACAGTATATGCATGCTCGCTTTCTCTCGATCTCTCTCTGAATATATATATATATATATATATATATATATATATATATATATATATATATATATATATATATATATATATATATAGTATATGTATACATATATATATATTATATATATTATAGTATATGTTTACTGTATATATATATATTATATACAATATACTGTGTATATACTTTAGATAGATATAAATAGATCTACATAGATATCTCATTCTGTTCATATGTATCTATCTCAATCTGTTCATATCTGTCTATCTATCTATCTATATGTTTCATGTCTATCTATATACTATCTATATGTTCATATGTCTCTATCTGTCTAAAACTGTTTATCTATCTATCTATCTATCTATCTATCTATCTATCTATCTGGAGATGTTCTGTATCTATCTCTCTCTCTCTATCTATCTATCTATCTATCTATCTGGGGATGTTCTGCATCTATCTATCTATCTGGAGATATTCTGTATCTATCTATCTATCTATCTATCTATCTATCTATCTATCTATCTATCTATCTATCTCGAGATGTCCTGCCTCTCCTAACCAATTCTTTTCTCATCTGTCCATGCACATGCACATCAAAGATGATTGCTACTGCATTATATTTTTGCCACTTGATTGCTTCTGCACTTTATCAATTATCATAACAACCCTCGAACAATCCTCTTATACACACAGTCCACAATGCAATATATATGTTTATCATCTATATTATTCATCTATTAACACCTGCGTTGAAACAGACGCATTAAAATGCACACGTCACCCAATAAACATTACGCCACGCACCTGGTTTGGATCCGATTCGCTTGTGAAGAGCACAGCGTGGGGTTAAATAAAAAAATAATAAATAAATGAATAAATAAACAAATAAATAAATAAATTAAAAAAAAGACACGTGTACATCTGAAAAATTCATATGCACAATTATCTTCTGAAATTGCAGTCGCGTTCATGTTTCTTAAGCGACGATATTAAACAGCCGTAAAATCCATTAATTATTGGCCGAATACCTTCATAAATTTTCTCATGTGTACACCCGCGAACTGATGCTCGAAGGCGAGCATTCGTATCGGATTATACAAATTATAGCGCTATTTTTTTTCAATTACAGTGGCAGGTGGAGGGTGGGGTCTGCCGAGAATGCGTTCCATGAGACTCAGCGAATGGCTGAAAGAGATATTACCCACCCCATATATCTTCTACTTCTATGTGCCACGTCCATTTAGGCTGTTGGCGATCCTGACTCTCCAAAATTTTCTTTCTTGTGGTTCTTAGCAGTTTTCGCCAAGGCCCGGGAGCCACTCAGAAGTAGAGGATTAAGTTATCAGGCCGTTTCTGTGTATAGTTGAGGGAGATAACCCTAGCCTTGAATAGATTAAGATTATATATATATATATATATATATATATATATATATATATATATATATATATTTATTTACATTATTCGGACTATTGTATTCATCTTTGTCGCCATATTTATTACAACGTTCCGGCCTTTCAGTATCTGTCTATATTTCTGAGATTAGGTATTATGTACACTATTTACATTATTCGGACTATTGTCCTCATCTTTGTCGTCATATTTATTACAACGTTTCGGGCTTCAGTATCTGCCTATATTTCTGAGATGAGGTATTATTACACTATTTACATTATTCGGACTATTGTCCTCATCTTTGTCGTCATATTTATTACAACGTTTCGGGCTTTCAGTATATAATTATATATCTGAGATGAGGTATGGTACATTATTTACATTATTCGGACTATTGTCCTCATCTTTGTCGCCATATTTATTACAAAATTGCCCGTTGTCTTTAATGTAAACGAAGATCTTTCTAATAATGTATGAATATTGTAAATATGTACCCATATGTATATATATATATATATATATATATATATATATATATATATATATATATATATATATATATATATATATATATATATATATATATATGTATGTGTATGTGTGTGAAAATATATATATATATATATATATATAATATCTGTCTATATATATATATATATATATGTATGTGTAACCACAGAAAATGTGAAAAGTGTATATATATATATACATAATATCTGTCTATATATATATATATATATATATATATATATATATATATATATATGTATGTATGTGTATATATATATATATATATATATATATATATATATATATATATATATATATTATATATTTATATATTATATATCCGATATTTTTATAAAAATACTCAATATCAGAGATAGAGTATACATATTTGGTTGGATTGATGTGAATCCAACCAATATATATATATATATATATATATATATATATATATATATATATATATATATCCTAAGTAGATATACCTAGGTTTCACCTACACGGACCTTCAGGTATAGTTTTCACCTAAATGATCATCAGGGTAAAAGACGTTTTTACACTGAAGATCCGTTTAGGTGAAACATATGTAGGTTTGCCTGGCTCTTTGGGGATTATCTTAACTTATCCTCAACTTAGCGTATTGAGCACTTTATGTAGTTGTCTTTTTACTCGTTTTGGATTTTTTGCTTTGGACTTGGAGCTTGGACACTGGACTATTGTTTTTCGCCTGTTTTTAATGTTCTTGGTTCTTTCTTTTTTATTCCTCATTTTCCTTGGGTACCGATTTGTTCTACTGCAAGTTGAGCTATCCGAGGATTTTCCAAACGTGTACCACCATATATATATATATATATATATATATATATATATATATGTTGTATTTTAGATACCCGTTTACTAGAGTGGCTAGCCAATCCCTATTGCCGACGCTTTCTCAGTCGCATTTGTGTTTCTTTAACATCTACAGAGATCACTTGTGGTTTATACTTCAACTATGCTGAGCAGACCTTAGTTACAATTTCTGGGAAAAATCGTGTTATCAACAATTTGAACAAGACCAGTGCGCTCAAGCCCTCGGCCACAATGACTTATGACTTCCTGCTAGCTCAGCTATCGACGGCTCTCAATGGTTCCGTCTACGCAATTTCGCACACAAGGCTTGGGTCAACCCGTGGTATGGTTTTCAGGTACTTTCCAAAGGTGTCTCACCCTGAGATCGTCCCGTTCAGACCGATAACATCAGGAAGTCTCCTTCCTAACAAATCAACCGTGGTGAGTTTCGAACCCGGGTCTCATGGTCATAAAGCGAACGTTCTAATCACTTGGCCAATCATGCATAGATATACAGATACATACGAATTTACGTGTCGCTGTAGAAAAAATACATACATATACATAGATACATACATATACATACATAAAAAAATAGCTGGCCACTCGTATTCGAGAATATCCGTCTATTAGGGCGGGTAGCCAGTCCATATTGCTGGCACTCGCTCAGGCACATTTGTGTTTGTTCAACATTGTTATACTGTAATTATGCTGAGCAGACCTTAGTTATGCTTTCTGGAAGAGAGCGTGTTATCTAGAATGATCAACAATCTGAACAGCAGCACACGCAAACCCTCGGTCACGATGACTTGTGATTTCGTGCTTGCACAGCTATCCGTCTACTCAGTTTCATTCACCAAGCTTGGATCAACCCGTGGTATGTTTTTCAGGCCCTGGGATCGTCCCCTCTAGACATAACACCAGGAAGTCTCTTTCTGGGAGAGAGTATGTTATCTAGCGTGATCAGCACGCTCATTCCCTCGGTCACGATGACTTGTGACTTTGCGCTAGCACAGCTATCGGCGGCCTTCAAGGGTTCCGTATATCCAATTTCATTCCAAAGGTGCCGCACGCTGGGATCGGCCTCCTCCAGTCCGATAACATCAGGAGGTCTCCTTCCTGACAAATCACCCGTGGTGGGTTTCGAACCCGGGCCTCATGGTCAGAAAGCGAACATTCTAACCATGTGTCCCTTAACCCTTGAATCGGTTAAGATTAAAGTGATCGCGGAAACATCCTGTTGGGAGTCGGTTTCACAGGGCAGTGCTACGCTGCCTGGGCGGAACTTACTTCTCACTGATGGAATATGGTGGGAATGTTGGAGGGTTTGCTATTATGTAATTGGCATGCTGTGAAGGTTTGCCTTGGCGGGATCAGAGAATGTAATTCGTCCGAGCACTTTCCATGGAAATGGCGATAGATCAGCGATAGACTTGACACATCCCGCCGGTGGGAGAGGGTTTGAAGGGTGGAGAATAATTCATCACCCACAAGGAGTCGGAGACCCTTTTGTATTCTATCAGGGCCGGAAAGAATGAGGTCTTAGCATCTCCCGCCCAAACATGACAACTACTCCATCTCTGTCCTGATCTGGCTCTTGTAAACGTAGAGGATAGTGGAAGGAGTCAGGTACTTACTGGAGCGATACAGAGAACCTACATCCTTCGTTCGACCATTTTCACTCACAAGGCTTGGGTCAACTCGTGAGTGTGTGTTTCAGGTATATCTCCACGGCGTCGTACGACGGATCGTCCCCCAAGGCAGATATCATTAAGAGGTCATTTTCTCTAAAAAAAACCCGGATCTTATGGTCGGAACGCTAAAGTCCTAACATACAATAATACATATATACATACACGCAAGAAAACATTGAGTTTATAAATTTGCCTCAATAAGAGATTAACACTAATCGGTGATAATAATCAAACAGAACAACTCTAGAAACACGGGTGCAATATTGAGGTGTGATGGTTAACTGTTAAGCATTAGTAGCGAGTTGCTCTGTATTTTTGGCCTTATGCCAACTACAAGGGTTAATTAGTCAGTAAAAAGAAGTTGACTTACATTTTATGTTAAGAGTTTCGATGCCTGAGAAAGGTTAATAAGAATATCAAAATGTGGCCCATGTCCCGTGACGTTTATGTGAAGGAAAATGCATGTTTCCAAATATCTGGCGCAGACTACATATCAATATTTACATATGTAAACGTACATATCTATGTTAGTTATTCGACATCTATCTATCTATCTATCTATCTATCTATCTATCTATCTATCTATCTCAGTCTGTTCATACATATCTGTCTATCTATCTGTTCTAAAAGGTCATCTATCTATCTATCTATCTATCTATCTATCTATCTATATATATCATATCTATCTAGTCTGTTCATATTTATCTATCTATCTATCTATCTATATTTCATCCTATTCATCTATCTATCTGATTCTATCTATCTGTTCATCAATTTATTTAAATATCTATCTATATCTATCTATCTATCTATTTCATTTTTTTTTCATCTATCTATTTCATCTGTTTCTTATCTAATAATTCATCATCTTATCTATCTTTCATCTATCTATCTTTTATCTAAAAAGTTTATTCACATCTATCTATCTATCTATTTATCTATCTCAGTTTATTCACATCTATCTATCTATCTATCTATCTATCTATCTATCTATCTATCTATCATAAGACGTTTTGATTCTATAAAAAATGTTTATTTACTCTTTCCAGCCTTTGTTCTTTCTCTCAGGACATTAGACATCCATCATTTGCCATTTCGTTTTTTTGTCCATTTTGTCTGTTCCGTTTCGGCCTTTTTCAGATTTGTCATTTCCATTTAACCGTTGACAGTGCAAAGTTGAGTCGGCCTCCAACGGGACGAAACCCTAACGCCAATACAAACAAACGAATGTTACGTATTTCTTGAAGTTTGTTTGTTTCTTTCTCTCTTTGTTTCTTTTTTAAATTTATTTTTTAGCTTCTTTCTCATTTCCTCTTCTTTCTTTCTTTCTTTCTTTCTTTCTTTGTAGTTTCTTATTCTTTCATTTTTTTTTCTTTCTTTACTGTGTCTGTCTTTCATTCAATAATTCTTCCTTTTGATTTTCTTTCCTATCATTCATTTCTTTTGATTTTCATAATTCTTTCGAATATTCTTTTGTTTTGTGTTTTCTCCAATCTTTCAATCTTTTTTCTCCTGAAAATCATTCAATTTTTTCTTTCTTTCTTTCTTTCTTTCTTTCTTTCTTTCTTTCTTTCTTTGTCGCTTATTTCTGTTCCCCCTTTTTCCTGTTATTTTTTACTCAATCTTTATTTCTTTCTTTCTTTTTAATTTCTTTCTTTCTTTCTTTTTTTCATTCGTTCTTTCTTTGTCGCTTATTTCTATTTCCTTTTATATCTTTTATTTTTTAGTCGATCTTTCTTTCTTTCATTTTTGATCTCTCTTTTTTCTTTCTTTCTTTCTTTTTCTTTCTTTCTTTTTCTTTCTGTCTTTCTTTCTTTCTTCAACTTCAGTTTTTATTTATTTTGATTACTGAGTATATCTTCCCTTTATCTTTCATTCAATAATTTTTCTTTTTGATTTTCTTTCCCCTTATTCATTCTTTTCATTTTTCATAATTCTTTCGACTATTCATTATTCTGTGTTTCCTTCAGTCTTTTTCTACTGATTCTATATTTCTTTCTTTCTTTCTTTCTTTCTTTTTCATTCATTCATTCTTTCTGTCATTCATTCCTTCATTTTCGTTCTTTCGGTTTTTCATTCATTCATTCTTTTCATTTGTCCCACCAGATGAAGTAACAGAAAGTTTCTTTAATATTTCCATATTTTCCTCATTTTAGTTGAATTTTGGCGAATTTTCACTGCAGTAATTAACATGGAAGCTTCTACTGGAGATCAAGTGACACCAAGTTTCTCATTATTATATTTCATTATTCTTGTTTAGGAGACTAATTCCATAGTTTAGTTTTTTTCCCTCCGATTTCTAATTTTTTTTCTATTCTGTCTTTGAAAATTCTAAATGAAATCAGCGAAATTATCTCTTCTAAAATTTACCAAATATTTATTCAGTATATCTTCAAACCTTACTCAGTATCTTGGAAAATTTTATTAAACCCAAACATCCGAATATAAAAATTTCGCAAGTTTGAATCCACTTTATAAAAGTACAAAAAATGAGATTTTTTTGCTTTTTTATCAATTTTAATTTTTTTAAAAATTTCATTAAATTCTTCATTATTTTCTACATTATTTTACCATATTGTTTTCTACATTATTTACTACACTATATCAACATTATTTTACTACATTATTTCTATATTATATTCTTCATTATATTCTACATTATTTTACTACAATATTTTCTACATTATTTTACCACATTATTTTCTACATTATTTACTACACTATTTCAACATTCATTTCTTATTTATTTTCTTTTGTATTATTTTAATTAAAATTTCTACATTATTTTTGTTGGTTTCATTATTATTTTTTTACATTATTTTTACTATATTATTTTCTACAAAATTATTTAAAATTATTTCAATTAATATTTTGCTAAAATTTTTACTAATTATTTCTATATTATATTCTTCATTTTGCTATCCTTACTAGATTATTATAAATGTTTAGAAAAGATATTTTTATCACAAAATTTTCTATGAAAAAATTTTCTACGTTATTTTCCAATTAAATTCAAAATTTTATAACATTATTTTCAATAATTATTTTTATACATTAATTATTTTTTTCTATTTTAAAAAATTTTTTTATTTACATTATTTTTTTATACTACATTATTTTTTACTATTTTATTTTTTTTATTTTATTTTTGAAAATTATTTTACCACATTATTTTTTTGTTTTAAAAATTTTTTTTTTTATTTTATTTTAATTTTTACTTTTTACATTTTTATTTTGAAGTACATTTTTTGTGTATTTTACCAGATTTGCTCAAATTTTTGTCAAAAAAAAAAAGTGACATTAAAAAAAAATAATTTCTATGAGTTATTTTATTTTTTATTTTTTTACAAAATAATTTTTTTTAAAAAAGTTTTTTCCATAATTATTTTTACATTATTTTTATAAAAATTATTTCATTAATTTATATTATTCATTATTTTTGACATTATTATCTACATTATTTTTTGGCACATTATTTTTTCCAGGGATTATTTTTATACATTATTTTCAAAATTATTTACATTAATTTATAAAATAGGCATAAAATGGATAATTTTTTATTTCATTGCATTTGTTTCTATATTATTTTCCTTTTTAAAATTTTCCTATCATTAATAAATTTTTCATTATATACATTATTTCTATTATTTGGCATTTATTTACATTATTCTTCATTAGATTCACTGAATTTTTCTTGTCATATCATTATTTTCTTCATTAATTAATTAAAAAATTTAAACACTATTTGAAAGTTTTATCATTAATTTCATATTCTTAATTCTCTATCAAATATTATCAGGGTTTTTCTCAATTAATTAATTAATATTATTATTTCTACATTGTATCTTATTTCTACATTATTTTCTACCTACATTTATATACGTTACAAATTAAATTAAGCACAGCTGACTATTTAAGGATGAAATATTTTCGCGTATTTTGACGTTATTCTGAGGTCTTATTTTGTCCAAATTCAAATTTATTTTGCTCATGCTAAATTAAAAAAAAACACTATATATAAAATTCACTATTTCTTATCCCTAACGTTGCATGTGTTAAAACTATCTAACGTTTTAACGAGGAAATTCTCAAGTTGATGTTAAAAATTGCCAAACAAACACTGTAAATTTATTTAAGATGGAATGATCTATTATGACATGTCTCTAATTTGTATTTAGATACATTGTATTTATTTTCAGTTTTTCTAGTTAAATTTTTCACCTATATTGCATATGATCCATTATTGTATATAATTAGGTTACAATAAAATTTCTATTTTATATGAATATTATTTATTTAAGATGGAATGATCTATTATGACATCTGTTATGAAATTTTTACATCATTCCGGGGTCTTTTTTCATCTAAATCCATGAATTTGTTTTTCTTATGTTAATTCTTGGAAAAACACTAAAAAATTCACTATTTTGTATCCATAATAATTTAAAAGATTATTAAAATTCTGAAACTAGTAGAGGAGAAAAATTGTTTTATTAATTTTTAAAATGCATAAAACTTGTTTTTTTAAATTCAAATTATCATTAAAATAGCAATGAAAGAAAAAAAAAAAAAAAAAAGGAAATTGTTTCAAATCTCAATTCCGACCAATAGGGATGCTATGTAAATAGTGTGACTTCATTTATTTATTTTTTTGATTTTAAAATAAATTGTGTTAAAATTCTTCAATTTTTTAACAAGATAAATCTCAAGTTGATGTTAAAATCTACTGCAAAAACATTGTTGATTTCTTTAAATATGGAATGATGAATCATGATATGTCTCTAATTTATATTTAGATCCATTGTATTTATAAAATTTTTTTCTAGTGGAATTCTTCACCTATATTGCATATGATCGATCCATTATCTATAAATAATCAGGCTTCAATAAAATTTGTATTTTAATTGAATACTACCTTATGAAAATTGAGATTTAGTGGCGTATATTTTGCTCTTTTATGTCATAGATTTGGTTTTTTGACACAAGACGTTTGTTCCTCTTTGCCCTCCAGGCCTTCTCATTATCAACATACACTCAAGTACTGATTCAAACAGTTACATTTCTTCGTTGAATATCAACTTGATCCAAAATCGGTGATTCTATCTCCTAGTCTTCAAAAATTTAAACATTTCCTGAGTAAGGTCTTGCTATTTTCCCAAACATTTTATTATCTCTTGTTGCAAGAAGAGTGCTGACGAATTGAGGAAACTCATAGTTGATAATGGCTCTCCACAACTTCCTTTCCTTTGCTTTAAGTAACCTTTCACACTGCTATCTTTCTTGTCTTTTACTGCCTATTCAGTAAATTCGTTAAGTTATTCACCGTTTCCCTCTGTTCCTTTTCACTGTGTCCTTGTGAGTGTTAGATTCCTCGGGTCATCTTTCCTCGTCCCAGAAATTTCAGCTGCATCTTTCTGGTTTTAAGTACAAATGTCCTTTTAGTTCATCTTTTTTGTTAAAACTTCCAAGCTGCTCATATGTTCCGCCCATGATATCTTCAGCATCTTTCTGTGGAACCACATCGCTGTCGGTTCAAGTCTCTTCTTCATCTGTGAGGAGATTGTCCAGCATTCACTGCCATATAGGAGGACTGATATTACATAACAGTTCAGCTCTCTTTTCTTTGTTTCTGTTGCTTCAAGTCTCTTCTTCATCTGTGAGGAGATTGTCCAGCATTCACTGCCATATAGGAGGACTGATATTACATTTAGTTAATTCTTCAGCTTTTGTTTCTGTTGTTGCGCCGTTGTGTCTCTTCTTCATCTGTGAGGAGATTGTCCAGCATTCACTGCCATATAGGAGGACTGATATTACATAACAGTTCAGCTCTCTTTCTTTGTTTCTGTTGTTTCAAGTCTCTTCTTCATCTTTGAGGAGATTGTCCAGCATTCACTGCCATATAAGAGGACTGATACAGAATAACAGTTCAAATCTATTTTTTTTTAAAAAAATTTGATTCAAAACTTCTTCATCTGTGAGGAGATTGTTTAGCATTCACTGCCATATAAATTGATTTTAAAAATAAGAGTTCAGCTACCTTTTTTCTTTGTTTCTGTTGTTTCAAGTCCCAATCTTCATCTGTGATGAAATTTTAATTCACTTTCATATAGGAGGACTGATATTATGGGCAGTTCAGTACTTTTTTCTTTTGTTTCTAACGATAAGAAGGGTATCTTTTAAATAGGCCCGTGCTTAAATCTTACAGAATGGCTTTTTAAATCTTAAAAATGAAAACGAAGATATTTTAAAAAAACCATCTACAGTTTTTTTCATATAAATTTAAAGAAAAAATCGATTACGCAACGTTTGGAAAAATATTTTGAATTTAAGTAATTTTATAAAATATCAAGAAATCACGCCCGATGAGCATATTTTGTTTTAGCTTCCGTAGGAGAGACCGATTTACATTGAATTTACATAGCAAACTGAACCCTTCTTTAAACTTTTATGACATTTTAAGAATTTACATCGTATAAATATATTTTGTTTTGGTTTTTGTAGGGCAGTGGTCAATTTATTAGGTTGGTGCATAATTATCAGGCGTTTTTTAGGCGAGTTATTTGTTAATAAAAATTGCTGTTTTGTTTAATTTTTTTTTTAAATAAAAATATTATTTTATTTTCAGGTTATAAAAATGCGTGTCGATAATCGTACGCACTGGAATAATCATTTAAAAATTTTATTGTTGAATTGTTTGTTTTTTTATAATAAATATTGTTTAAAAAAATGCCTGAAATAATTATGCAATAAATAAAAAATAATATATATTTATAAATAAGACCCGTGTTTTAACTTTTATAAAATGTTAACAAATCAAACTCGTAAAAGATATTTTGTTTTTTTTTTTTAATAGAAGGGATTAGAAAACCAATTTATAAAAAACGAATTTATTTCTAAATTGGATATTAAAAATTTTGATACCATTTAAAAATTTTATATTTGTTATAAATATATTTTTATATGGCTTCCGTAATATATGAATAAAACAAATATTTTTTAGAGAAGATTTTAACAGAATCCCTTTTATTTTATATATTTTAGAAATTTACGTTCTAACATATTTTCCCATTTTAAATTTTGTAAGAAAATTCAAAGGTAAAAATGAATTTACATAG